GGGCTCTGGCAGATTGGGTACCATCGGAGCAGCTCCAATGAGTCTAAGTCTCCCTCTAGTGGGATATTGTAAAAACAAACGCAGGAGAAAAAACAACTTGTTTTATGAATTTCTAAAAATTAGGAACACGTGATCAAATGTGGAATTTACCGGAAACTTTCATCATACTGTTGTATCGTTGGTATCCCTAGGGTTTCGGAATTTAAAAAAATAAATAAAATTGTCGCTCTTTTGTTCTTTTGTCCATCTAAAACCAAACTGCTGTGACGTCACGGTCAGAATTATGTTTGAGGTTGAGAAACTGAAACGTCAAACTTGATCAAAATTCAATCACAAAACGCAGCGTTTTAAAGGCAATAATCGGTGGAACGGTGACCTGAGCTGTCGTTACAACCAGTGGAAAAACATGTTGTGATACTTTGGATGGGTGATCCTGCTCCGTCTCACCCGTCTCTACCTCCCCTCCTCCTCCCCCTCCTCCTCCTCCTCCTCCTCCACCTCTTCTCCTGATATGAAACCACACTTTAGTAATCCTCCAAATGAAAGGATTTGGAGAGAGAGCATCGTCTCCACACTGAACATGGGAATGAAAGAGAAGGCAGCCTCTCAGATGACACAGGAGAGAGAGAGAGAGAGAGAGAGAGAGAGAGAGAGCACCGTGATGTATGAAAGAGGCAGCGACGGAGGAACTGTAGACGAGACAAGATGAAGGGAAGGAGACGATGCAAAAGTCAAAGAGCAGAAAAAGTCAAAGAATGAAAATGTAATAAAGTCACAGTCACACAGACGTTATAGAAATAATGCTGTCTCTGCAGCCCAGTACCAACTGACCCACGGACCACTACTGGCCCATGCCCCAGGGGTTGGGAAACCCTGATATACATCAAAAGATTAAGTGCAACCTATAGAATAGAGAGTTGGTTTTGTTTTTTTTTTGTGTTTTTTTTTGCAGTACTGGATTGGAAATATTTCAGTTTGTCAACGTAATAAAACTTTTGCTGAAGAAAAGCTGAACAGATGAAGAAATGTAGTGAATGGGAAGTGACGGCTGACGGAACAGGAAGTCTCCTGGCCTCAGGCAGTGCGTGGACAGACTACGACCGGGTCCTAATGCCATGTGATCTGGGAGAAAGTCAACAGTTTAGTTTCTCTATCGCTGCGTCGTCAGGACCCCGGGGTCAACAAGAACCCAGGGAGTGAAAGAGACGCAGAGAAGAGTGTGTGTGTGTGTGTGTGTGTGTGAGTGTGTAGTGTTGCATCAAAAAGACAATCTCTTCTTCGCACACGTTCCAAAAAAAACAAGGCAAAATGAAACTTATCTGAAAGACAAACACACATCCAATATAAACCGTGTTTACCTGGCTCTCCTTTATCGTAGAACTGATAGGTGCCAATGTCTGTATCTGTGGGGCGAGAGACACAGAGAGACAGTTGGTATGTGTGAGAGAGAGAGATGAACATCATGGTGCTGTCAGGGAAAAGCAGAGACAGATCAGCAATTTCCCACCATGGGATAAACAATCACTATCAGCCGGTGGCCTGTC